ATGTATTGTGTGGGCGTTATCTGGTTACAGAATCCCAAAGTATTGTCTTGTCTCTTCGCTTATATATCCAGAGCAGAACAAACAAATCTTCAAATCAGTTGTAAAAACATAAAAGACCTTTCGGTTTGTTAGGTTCTCGTGACCCAGGGTCGCACCTGGCCAGACATAGGAAAACATCCTCACAGTCCCTGAGGGAGACACACCCCTCAGCAGCAGAACAGAATTCTTCTATTGACCTTTAGAACAATACTAAACATGAAAATGTTAAAATCATATCTTCTTAAGATATAATAACCACAAAATTTAAGGATAGTGACTTGAGTTCTTGACACTTCCAAGTCAAATTTCAGTGACCTGGACCATATGTCCAGGAGGGAAGGAGGGAGCTTAAGGATGGGTGAAGAAGCAGTTGAGTAGATCTTCTCTTCAGATTAGAAAGTTTATTGTTTTGTTGCATGGCATCTGTGTGAGTTCCTGACGTTTGGTTTTAATGTGAAGATAATTTTGCCTCTTACAGGTCAACTCATCTTCAGAGATTATAAACGGTGACAGAAGTTCAGAAGGTTGTTCCATTGTTTAATATCCTTTTTTTTTTGTATTGTTTTACCTATCCAATTAAATATTTTCTAGTAACATATTTGATGTCTTTTAGGTATCCTGCAAGATATGATGAGGCTATGAGGAAGAAGTATTGATAGTTTCATTCTGGAAAGGCCCAGCTGAAACACTCAGTCAAGGTCTTGGCAAAAAAGCCAAAGAGAGACAACAGTAAGTTTATAATTTGACATGATGCGACTCTTTTTAAATAGGATATTAGCCTGTAGTGATTATTGTAAGTAGTTAAATTACTGCTATTTTGCAATTGCTGGAGACGACGTCAACAGAGACAAACACAGAAAGAGTAGTGTGGAGGACAGAAATGGTGGAGCTCAGTGTAAAAAGAGGAAGATTTTGTTGTTGATGTGGATGCATGCAGCCTCTACAATGAGGAATGGAGTCTGAAATAACATAATTTCAGGTGTTATTTACTGCCATTGTTTGAATTGTCTGTAATGCAAAGTAGATGTTGTATTTTCAAATGTTGTTTTCTGTTGTAATTGTTTTTGTGACTGATTTTAGGTTTTAGATTTAGGTTTAGGCTACAATTTACGGTTTTTCGCAACCAATCAAATCATTCACCTGTAAGTGTTTCGTGAGGGATATATTTTATAAATGTCCCCTGAAAAAAAAAATCTTTAAGCATTTCAGTTCATTCTTCTTGAATGTCTTTTAGTCACACTGCTGTTCTGCTGAGTTGCTTTTCGCTGTGGATTTAAAGGACTGAATCACAATCATGTCAGGAGCTGCTCTGCTTGGCTCCCTCCTTCGCTATGTGAGCGAGTGTATGTGTTTGTGAGAGTGTATTAGTGAACAGTGTATGTTTTCTATAAGCTGTCGGGGCGCCTTTCTCAGCCATTAGACAGAACAACATTTTCTAACACTGGAAGTGTATTATCTTCAATTCCAATGGTTCCTGCCTGTCATTCTATTGCTTTGAGGTGAATTGCTTGCCTTGCTGTCATACTTATTTGCTCTGTTCATACTTTCTGGAGGTTTTTTTTTAGGTCAATCCTGTTGTCAATGACTTGTCAGTAATCTCTTATCCAGAAATTGTGTGTGCCACTTCAATATATTATTACAGCCACTTCAACAAATTCAACTACAGCAGAATAAAATGGACTTGACCACTGCATATAAATAAACATGCTGTCCACCCATATAAAAAAAATTGTTTTTTGTGCTGTGAAGATTTGTGTGTGTGTGTGTGCTTTATAGGTCACCCAAAAAGTTGAAATTTGCTGAAAATGTATTCACCCTCAGGGTATCCAAGATGTAGATGAGTTTGTTTCTTCATTGGAAGAGATTTGGAGAAATTTAGCATTACGTTGCTTGATCACCAATGGATCCTCTGCAGTGAATGGGTGCCGTCAGAATGAGAGTCCAAACTGTTAAAAACATCACAATAATCCACAAGTAATCCATATGACTCCAGTCCATCAATTAACATATTGTGAAGCAAAAAGCTGTGTGTTTGTAAGAAACAAATCCATCATTAAGTCTTTTTAACTAAACTGTTGATTCTAGCCAAAATATGAGTCTATAATCCATAATAATGCCTCCTCCAGTGAAATGTTTTCCTCTCACACCAAAATTCACTAACATATTTTTTTCAGAACTGTTTTGGACCTTTTTTGCTTGATCTTTTCTTACTGATTCAGACGAAGCTACTTTTTTTGGACATATTATGGATTTTAGCCATGCTTGTGGAATATTGTGATGTTTTTATCTGTTGTTTGAACTCTCATTCTGACAACAAATCCTGTCTTCATTTTTTTCCCTCATTAAGTATCATGTTTAATGCAATAATATGTAAAATTATATGTCAAATGACTCATAAACAGCAACTCAGCAGCGAGATGATATAATGCAACACAGGTGTTTAGATGTATGTTGTGGTATTAAATCAGAAGGAATAATTCACAGAATATTCCTCAGAGACATATAAACACGTCCAAAAGGAGCACAAGTATGCATAAATAAATAAGTGACACTATCAACCCATTAGAGGTCATAAACACCCCAGCACTGGAAAACGGCATAAGACATCAGAGGGAGCTGATGGTAGTGCATTAGTGAAAAATAAATCAACACAGTCATACTGAAAGTTACATATCACTAGGATATCTGATGTTCAAGGGTTTTCCAGCAGTTACAGGAGCTGTGTTTAATTAATTTAATATGATTATAATACGAATGTGCTTAACCAAACTAAGATTAACCAATGCACAAATGAATTTCATCCTTCATAAACTCATAGACTTAATTAGTCATACTGTGTGCCCATGGATTTCTGAGAATACAGCGTAAACATGGTTATTTATAACCTGTTTTAATGCCAATCTATCATTTTACTGCTTCAAATTCAGTTTTCAGAACCTGTTCAACTATGCATTTTCAGTCAGTTTTCATATTTAATTATCTAATATTTTCCCAAATAAGAACTAAAATCTGTTTGTAAAAATCGTTTATAAAGTAGTCAGTTTTAAAAGTCTCTTATTTTTTTTATTTATTATTTATATTTTATTCAAATCAAAAATTGATTTAAATGAATGTCAGTAGAGAATTCATTCCTGACAATGTACTAGCTCTGGTGGGTAGGTATAGTGCTATGATCTACCTTTTCTAAAGGGAAGAAAATGATAAAAAAAAAAAAAAAGATATCCAAAATGATATTTCTAGCTGTCTGTTATTGCAACACAGCATAGAGCCTTAGGGGCAAAAGGTGTAGAGTGAATCATTGTCCTGACAACATCAGGATAAGGTGATAGAGCGACTGCTACTCACAATCAGGATGAAGCAAACACTGATTTATTGATTTCAAAATGTCAAAAACTAAGATTGGTAATATTGAGCTTGGAGAGCTTAAACTCTGTTCTGCACATGTGAGAAATAATCCCTTCAGATTCTCTGTAGTAGTTGTTTTGTTATCAAACTTTCTGACATTTAAATATTAAAACATGCACACAAATATGTACACATTCATGAGAGAGATTTCAGGTCACTTGACATACACTGAATCTTCTATATGTGCAAAATTAGCAGTCACATCAGACACAGAAATGTTTGCCAACCTGAAGCACAACATGGTGTTGTGGAAACCTGATGTAAAATAACCTTAGGATAATCCATAAATTGATGAACAGTCTGTGTATCCTCAAGTATTGCTATTAACTAAGATAAAGCACTTTGTAAAGCTCATCAGAGGAAGAAGATAGATATTTAGAGCAAACACCGGTCAAAAGTTTTGAATCAATTTTTAATGTTTTGGAAAGAAGTCTCTTCTACTCACCTATTCTGAATTTATTTAAAACAGTAATTTTTGTATCTATCTATCTATCTATCTATCTATCTATCTGTCTGTCTGTCTGTATAACCTCCTAACTTACAAACATTTCCATAAATATACATCATTTACATGCAGACAAGGCATCCACACGATAATGGCTTTTTTTGTAGACATAGAGACGTAAATAAAATCTTTAGCTCTTCTGTGGACAGTCTTCAGCTATTTTTTATGTATGTATATATTTATTTATTTAGAACACTCTGCAAATACCTGAATATTAATGGTTGCCTCTGAGCATTGGATGTTCTCAGCTGGTTGATTGTGACTCTGAAATCAGTTCCATGTCTGCTCTGATATTGTTCAGGGACAGCAAGAAAAAAAAAATGCAAATTCTAAAGTCAAAGGCAAATAAAGGAGGTGTGTAAATTTTACCTGCCACTTGGAAATATGGTTAATACTAATTCATTTTTAGCCCAGTGTTTGGCTGGTAAATCATAGACATTTACAAATAATTGTGCATATTGTTGGGTCTGTACTGTTCATGGTAAATTCAATGCATGTCAGTATTTATTTTAAATACAATAGACAATTAATACAATTAATTTTGTACAATAGACATTTTGGCACATGTCTGACATGCCTGATCTTAAAACTATGTCCTGCAACAAAAGTTGCCATTTGAAAACTACAACACATTATGTAATGAATTAGCCTACCTTAATAGGGGAAATGTGTTGCAAAATAAGAATGTTTTATCGAAGGAAATCATTATGCTGTTTTCCTCTTAGGGCTGTCCAAAGACCAATAAATAGTCAAATGAAGCAGAGGCGAATGAGTCAGCGTGGAAAATCACTGCACTTTAACGTCGCTCCACACGTTATTCATGAATGGGCCGCTGTTCTCATGGTGAATAATTCTGTGCTTGATTACTCTCCTCTGACAACGCACAAGAAAATATACCGATAAAGCCTGTGCCTTTTTAAATTCACATATACCAACAATTTAAATATCAAAATGCTTCCACGAGCTAGTTTTCATCTATTTGAGCAGAAAACAAAAGAGCTTTAATTTCTTGCTATCGCGGCAGGATGCTTAATCGATAACAGAAAGCATCGCTTATGTTATCCTGCTCTGAGTAACGTTATCTGGTGTGAAGCCGCTTTATCGCTCTATCGCGGAACTCTTGATTAATGACATTGGATCATCGATAAACCGTGATCCTTGGACTAGACAGAGGATTTAAACAGACACCCGTGATATTGCGCCATATTCCAGTAGTTAGTTAGCATCTCTAGCTGCAGTCTCTACCGTCATGACGCTAACGTTACACGGCTAACTGACCTCAGAGAAATAACTGCTAACCAACATGCCGTTTTACTTTCTTTAACCGATAAAGTGGATTCACCCGGATGCTTGCTGAACACAAACACGCTGGACTATTTAAACTGTCAGATATTGTTTTGACGCAGAAATTGTTTTGAGAAGAAGTTAGCCTGGTTAGCTTTGGGCAGGCGCTTGTGGTGTTACTTCACATACAGCAGCTGTTTGTACAGAAACTTTCGTATTTCAGCGTATAATTCAGTTGTCGTGTATGTTTGGATACTAGTGCAGTGTTGTATCAGTAAGTAGCAGGCTTGAGTCTCACGTAAGCTGTATGAGTGTGTGATAGATGAGAGTGAGATGCAGTGGTGGTGAGGAAGAGCTCAATGCCTTGTGTGCTGGAGGATGATGCGGATGAGCTGGATGATCACAGTCATTAACAGAAGAATGATGAAGATCCTGATCGCCCTCGCTCTCATTGCCTACATCGCCTGTGAGTATATGACACCAACTGACACATTAGCATGAGATGAAATCTACCTAGCTGTCTGTCCTTCTGCTGGACTTTGTTTCTAAGAGAATGTTAAACTTGTTTTTAACTAATGGAGTTTAGTAACATCTCAAAAACGTATAGATTTTATTAATGGAAGGTTATGGAAATGTATTTTCTCTCTCCTCCCTCACAAAAGTACAGTACTGTCAGTAGTGTAGTTCTACTATGGTATCAGATGATAATACCATGGTGCCCCACTGGATCTTTTTTATGCTCAAACAGCAACATTACAGACTAACTAAAGTTGAAAAAGTGAAAAAGCATAATAGCACCCCTTTAACTGAAAACAGGCTAGACTAATCGATTAGTGGGATTTAAGAATCGATATCGTTCCGTAAAAATGAGAATCGATTAATATAGAGATATCAATATTTTTTACCCAGCCCTAGTATGTATTTACCATGGTGTTTTCATGTCACTTCAAAGTATACCACGGTACATGTCCAAAGTATCATGGTTTCTTAAGGTACATGCCCAAAGACCCATGGTTCTATCCTAAAATACCATGGTAGTACCACGCAGGGTTTCTACAGTCACAGAAAAACTGGAAATATCAGGACATTTTTGTCATCTTCAGGCCATTAGAATTCATGGAATAATTAGCGTCCCTCTTTCATGAATGTTAATGTTCGAAAATTAAAGTTAAAATTATTTATTAAATTTATTTGGAAATGGCCTTTTGTGAGTGTTGTATATGTGCAGTGTTATTTTGGTATAATTAAGATACTATTATAGTTTTTATTATTTTGAATTATTTTATTTTTATATTTTCAGTTTTTTTATTACATTTTAGTTAGTTTTATTCATTTTGCATATTTATAATTTATAATGTTAATTATTAAAGTAAATTAATACTATTTTATTGATTTTAAACTGAAATAATCATTAAAATTAATTGGTCAAAAAATGTGAGAATCTGACCATGGCACTTTTGTGTTTTGGCTCTCTCTCTCTCTCTATCTCTCTCTCTGTTTGACCCCCTGTGTCTGTGTTGGTAAATGTGCTGGCCAGGGGAAGTTTATAACATTTTAGCAACTGTTACTGTTTTGGCAGTGTCATAATTACATGTTACTTGACTGTGCAACAGGCTTTGCATAAGTGATATGTCTGCAGCTGCTTTATGTATGATATTCAAAATGTGACCCATTTACAGCTCATTCCTATTCTTTATCATTGAGGACATTGAACCCATTTAGTCAAGCCCTTTAATTATATCTAAACTGTTTAGTTAATGTGTGTGCTGTTGTGTACTCTCTCTAGCTCCCTGAGAGTGGGAGAGTGCTGCTGTTAACCTATTTTTGGAACTGTAATGTGAAATGGTCAACTTTGTGTTATGTGACAGCTAGGCATGGACCGGTATGAGATTTTGACGGTATGATAACCTTAAACAAAAATATCACATCGTACCAAATCACGGAAGTGAACCGCTATTAATGACGTATTATTTGATAAAAATTTGTGTTTGTGTGTGTTTCACTCACTTTCCTGTAGAGCGTGACTGACGACTGATATCTCATTTCTTTTCACCTTCAGAGTTCTTTAGGGCATTTGCAGTAAGTCAGACGTAAGTGCCGTTAAGTACTGAAGCTTTGGAAACAAAACCAACGATTCAAAAGCATAAATATAAAATTGAAGAGAGCAATGCTGCGCATTTTGCCGTCTTCTCCTGTGCCTTAGTTACTAAGCAATGGGGTAAACAGCTGCTGGCTTGATGACGTAAACGAACCGCGGTTCGGACCCAAATAATATAATGTGAACACAGTCCAACGGGGGCATGACGAGCGTGACTGACGCGCTGCAAGCAGAGAGCTGTATATCTAATTTCTGTTCACCTTCAGAGTACTTTAGAGCATTTGCAGTACATTCGTAAGGCAGACGTAAGTGCCATTATGTACTGAAGCTTTGGAAACAAAACCAACGGTTCAAAAGCATAAATATAAAATTGAAGAGAGCAATGCTACGCATTTTGCCATCTTCTCCTGTGCCTTCGTTACTAAGCAATGGGGTAAACAGCTGCTGGCTTGATGACGTAAACGAACCGCGGTTCGGACCCAAATAATATAATGTGAACACAGTCCAGCAGGGGGAGGGGGGAGCAATCGAACTCTGGTTCGGACCAAGCAATCGAACCAAGTGTGAAAGCACCCTAACTTTCTGACAGCAGGAGGCGCTTCAGGAGCACAAATGGCCGGTTGCCGATCGCGTAAGTTCCAGGGGAAGCCATCCTACACACACCGACTGACCGCTCGCTCGCACCAACAGGAGGAGGAGGGGTCGTGTTACTCTCTACACTGCACTCAACCTGAGGGATTCCTACACTTTCAGTCTTTGAGGAGACATGAATAACAGCGCATACCGCAGGAACGGTATAACGGAAAATATTAGCGGTTTTGAAACCGTGACATTTTCAAATCGCGGTATACCTTGAAACCGGTAATCGGCCCATGCCTAGTGACAGCTCTGGGGCAAGAGCAGATAAGCTTCCCTGTTTCACAACGCCAATATTAATGCAATAAAAACATTATTTCTATGACCTTAGTCTAGCAGACCCACAATTAGAAAAGGAATCTGACAGTCTTTATTAGTTGAGATTGGAACATTTCAGTGTGTGAAGAGGTTTCTATATGAATTAATTCAGTTCTGATTAGAAAGAGCGTTGTGTCCATCATTGGCTTGAATAAATGTGTGATTATGTTGTGCAATAACCAAAGAAGCCATGTTAGTGCACCTGTAGCTCCTCTTTTGTCTGCTTACAAGACATACCACATGATTGTTTAATCATGAAAGATGAGAAGTTAGTTTGGCTAAATAGACAGGTATAGATCATCATTTTGTTTGATGTTTTATTTTGGGCTGCACGTTTTGGGGGGGAAAAAAATCTAAATGTGTCTGTGTCTAATTTGTCTGATAAAAATTGTGATTGCTATTTAAATATTATTAATAATTATTTAATTATAAAATTAATAGACAATTACTAAATAAATCTATTAGGTCTATTTAAAGTGTTATTGCTGCCTTTTGAAACAGAAACACCACAGTAACCAATAATAGGCCCACAGCACAAAATAATAATAATAAAGACAAACAAAAGTCCATCTCTCCTATTGGAATTTAAAAAAGGGACACCTCTGCTCTGTAAACCTCCATGAAAGTATTTCCTTTTTGAAAATAACTAATTAAAAAGTATTTAGGGTTTTCACTTTGTACATTCTTTATTTCTTTTGGACCTGAGGTAGAGAACTTGGAAACATGGTGTAAAAAAAAATCTTGTTGGTTTTTGACATGAATAAAACAGGGATAATAAATAAATACCAATGTTAAAGAAGCATTATTAATATGACTAATATTAATTTTATTTATCCCACAGGGGAAACTAAATGAGGGGAATAAACTGAACTATTGTTATAATCAACTGTCATCCATACGTATTCATTTGAATAATATTTATAATAATTCATATGA